ATGGTGCATACCCCTGCTAATTGTACTCGGTTCCCAGAAGACACTGGATGTAACCTTAGACACACTAAAGGTATAGTGGCTATAGAACTATGTAAAACAGACACCAGGCAAAAGTTTTTCTTGATCAGGTGTGCCCAAATATGGAAAAAACTACCTGAAGAAATGCGACTAGCAAGCTCATTGGCCTCCTTTGAAAAGGTACTTAATGACACACTGAGTTTGTAATTGATACCAATGGTAATTCCCATGTAAGAGTTTCAGAAATCATAGGCCCATCTAATGTATGAACTCAGAGACTACACCTGTTGTTTGTCTTGTCTCTATTTATAATTCCAGACAAAAAAGCACCAGTCATGACGATAACACCCATGCAAATAAGATTCGATCGAACTATGTCTACCTGATACAAAGGGTGAACCATAACCAACATACGAATAAAGTATGAGAAAACAAGGTCGAAACTTACCGCAACACCACATGAAAAGATATAAGTTACTTGGACATCATTTATAATCCACCAACTGGTCTCCTTTCCAAAAAGGATGCGGCGATGTTTTATCCAAAATGGCGAGGAAATGCATAAATCCACAGTTCTCGTTGTAAACACTCAGTGGAGGTAGGAGTCAACAAAGTAACTCATTTAAAGCATGTGTATACTTCCCGTGATCATGGTGACACTCTGCGGAATATGTCAAGATCCAAATCACTGCTTTTACAGCTCCAATAAACCTGGATATCTATGAAGTAACGAAAATATTCTGAAAGCTGCATCTAAGATCACGCTGATTCGTTCGATGGTAATAATCTGCTGCTGCATGCCTTATTCGACATTTTGTGTGGAATAGTTTGCAGTCATTCTGGTTCCAGATCGGAAAGAATAAAAAATTCACCGGTTGCTGAATCAGTAGTACTTTTTTGCATGCTTAACTGTATTCTAACTGCTGTGGTGAGCCTTCTGCAAATTATGTTACTTAAAACATCGTTTACGGTAAACTAACTATCGTTTTATAAGCCATTTTTACACTTTTGTGAGTAGCCCACCATATCGGCTAAATGTAACGTAACACTCAGTTGTTACGTGCATTTTCGACAAATTCAAACAATAATGGTGCCTAGGATTATATCATATAAATTGTTTTAACTTATGCAAAGTGTGTTTACTATCATTATTCCATTATCCTCTCCTGTACATATATATCTTCTGTCAGTGAAAAATTTTAAACGTGCCTACTCCATGTGTACATCATTACCATATTGATGATGCCTGTCAACTGTCATGTGAATCAAAAGACAGTATATTATTATATGATTTATTTTATTGTTATATTAGGGAAGTGATTTCAAGCTTTATTTATTTGCACAAGCATCTGTAATTTATCCAACGAATACTTGGGTTTTTTTGTTAATGCGAAGTAAATATCTCTATAACTCTTGATGTGGTGCATTGAATCACCAGTTATCAGATTTTTCCCACAAACTAAAGACAAAATGACAGCAACCGTAAAACATGGAATTTAAACAATATTTATGCATGCCTATACAACTGGTGTATCCTACATAGCTAGGAAAAAATATGTACCTTATTTATTATCTTTACTAACTATGCTTACTAATCGCATTTGTAATTTATCGAATTGATGATGCCTGTGAACTGGCGTCCCTCAGATACAAAAATGAGAACATATATTATTATTAGCATCACGTCCGTAGTTTCACGTGTAACGGAAATGACAGTAAAGACTCAAATTGTTCAGTTCTACCTGTCAAGTGACCTACTGTTATGTACTCGTCGCCAAATTATTGCTATGTACTGGTCGAGAATTTAATAGTCCTGACACAAGAAGGCGGAAATCAGAAGACCACTAGGTTTGCGATGATACTTCTATTTTCCAAACACAAGGAGAAGCAATAAGTGGTATCACACCAAAGTAGTGTCACACAAGATTGTGAGAGCGAAATATATATGAATGTCCAGACAAGTGTGTGAACAAATCAATAGACAGTCTTAACATGAATGGCTAATTATAATGAAGTGTCGATCCATATATACATAGCAAAATATAGCAGACATGTCAACAACCACGCATATAATATGGATATATGTCACCAAGCAACGGACTGTCAACAAACACTCATATTATATATAATATAAGGGGAATATACATTGGTAAAGGAGACAGGTTCATCAAAGTGAAATAGTCACAGAATAAGCGAGCAAACAGAAAGAGAGATCACCATACACACACATATATATGTGGATACGTATCACCTACTATCCTCATCCAAATACGGTTTCTTAGGTAGAAGGTAGTGCATTACTTGCGACTTAGATTATTTTGACTGCATTACACAAGGCATAGATAATGGGCATTCAGTAAGAAGATTATTTCTCAACGTTGGCAGAGCCTTTGATAAAGTCCCACATGTCAGACTCCTGACAAAACTCCAATCCCACTGAATAACTGGAAAGCTTCTCAAATGAATAAATTCTTTCCTCACAGAAAGGATCAGTTAATCAATACCAACCACCGGCTTACTTCACCAAAGCCGATAACTAGTGGTGTAATACAAGAAAGCGTTCTTGACCCTATTCTTCTCCTCGTATTCATCAGTGACATGGTGTCTGTGATCAAGTGTGCCAAGACATGCCTCTTTGCAGATAATTTGAAGATAGTATATGATTATGGGTACGATGATGTGAGCGTCGAAAGTAAGATCCAACAAGACTTAAACGATCTAGGCGATTGGAGCGAAAAGTGGCAACTGACTTTCAACCCAGACAAGTGCGGTATAACCCACCTTGGACACTGGAAACCGATAATGTGCCTATATATGTACGGTAAGCTCCTCTCAAAACTGAACACAGTCACTGATCTCAGGATAACATACTCAGATTTATCCTTTTCCGATCATGCAAACAAGGTTGTATCTGACTGTAAACGACTTACTGGCTTTGCACTGCGTAACTTTTACACAGAAGAATGCAGATTGGCTATATATAAGACATGTATTCGCCCAAACTTATGCTCTTTTATTTATTTAGTAACCTAGGGCCCGCAGACCGAATAAGTCGAAAGTTTCCAGAGATTCCTCACAAAAGGAATAATTAGGTTTGACCAACAAGTGGAATATGCTCACAGGTGTTAACAACTGAAATTAGGACCTCTATGGTCTAGAACTAGTTTCTACTCTATAAAGTCGTTACGGAGCATTGTTACAGTAACTCATCCATAACGTAGGCAACTATCAAAGCATATCAGCTGCAAAACCACGACTACCTTCTCAAGGTGGCTACCCACAAAACAACCATAAGGAAAAACTTTTCACCATTAATACTGCACACTCTGGAACCAACCACCATCTGAAATTAGATGTTGTGAAGATCCCGATGGGTTCAAATAGAGTCTAGAAAAACACATAAATGTATCCAACAGGTCATCTAAAAGACCAAAACTGTTGCTGAAATGGTAAACAAAAGCCGATCCGGTCTTCATTGTAGTCGCTTACATATAACTCAACTATGCTACTTACGCAGCGAACGTTTAACGAATTTACTGATTCTCCATTCTCAATAATCTACAATAAGTTTTGTAATTATAAGTAACTCCAGAAACAATTATATTAGCAACCACACCTTTGGATATCTTACGTATATATATATATATAAATATATATATACGTATTTATTAATACACCGCTATTTTTCTGTCGAAATGACTGCTCTGTTAATAACTACCTTTTCTCGCATACTTTTCTAAAATGTATAATTTTATAACATTTCGCAGAATATTTTACATGGCATAAGTTGATGGGTTACTTTACAGTGCTTGACGCATGACACAAAAAAATAGGTTATGAAAATTTAGCTTAACTAGTTCCGTTAACAGTTGTTTTTTCAGCATCATTCTACACAATTTTATCACTAATTGTTCCATTACCCATCTCACTCCGCTAAATAGAATATGACCTAGTTGCTGTAATACTAACCACTTCCATACTTCATAAATTTAAAGGTAACTAAACGTGAGTCTAGATCCCTGTCGTACAGACCTAAATTATAAAAATACTGCTTTCGCACCTGCTATCTGCAAGCCTGTTCAGCTTCTTTCCAAGACGCTACCCCATGAGCCCTACACAAATTCGTCACATATCCTACAGGTAAGCTTGTCTTACGGGTTCTTATCTTCCAGATCATTTATCACTTATCTACCTCACGATAATCTCTTTATTTAGGGACAACATCAGTCCAACTGTGAGGAAGGGTAAGGTTCTTGAAAGATACTGTGCCTTAATTTGGCGATTAGTTTATTCAGGTTTTAAGCTTCACGGAGATTTTGGTTCACTTTAATGTGGGTTTCGTTACGGGATTTTCGGAAAGCCAGGAGGCCCTGAAAAGAAATTCCACCGTTATATCGGATTCCTCAGTTATACCTGTCAATAATTGCACTAGTGATGTAACTCAAACTGGAATTCAGTAACACGCATGACTTAAAATCCCCACTTGGTGAAACATAGCGCCTCCACTGGCCAGTGCTACTGGTGTGCAATTACCAATGGAGGGAGAAGGGTCCCGAAGTAGGACAGAACAGCTCTCAACAATTTTCCAACTGATGTCGATTCTTGACGAAATCTGCGTAGAGGTTCGCTTGTCGTTTTCCATTTCCTGTTATTTTGAAGTTGTAAACTGTAAAGAGGAAACATGTGAGACTATGCTTGTCAAGGATACATTGCCACTTCACGTTCCTTTTTGGTCCCAGAAAATGTTTGTTGAGGGAAGCTGATTGAATTAGGACATTTACCACAAGGGGGTGGGCACAGCAGTTTTTACCACATTGTGGTCTCGTTCAAGCATATATAGTTCAAATGCGTTCCAAATTGCGAATAAAATTTTAGGTGTCGTGTGAGAAATTCATAACTCACCTTCACTAAAAGATGTTGTGTGATTTCCACTGGATAGTGGAAATTTGTTAGGCTGCAGGTAGAATTTCGACTTCTCTAAACTTCGAGTTCCCCCCCTATTTTTGATGGTTTAATATGCGTCTACAAGCAAGGCTATGAAATAAAGTCATATAGGAGATCGAAAAGTTCACTAGTCTTATCATACGGCCTTCACAATTTTCGTTTGTTTGTATTCGTTCGTATATCGGGGCGCTTGTTTTGTGCCTGGATTTCCTTTGTTATAATTATGAAATTCCAGTACAAAGAGGACCGTCCGTTTGAGAAGCGTCTAGAAGAGGGGCAAAACATCCGCAAGAAATATCCTGGAAGTGTCCCAGTAGGTATTTTTAATAGGGTGAAGTTTTTGTAATGCATTATCTCGAATTCATGCACTTCTGTGTAACGGTGCATAACTTTAGTGGGTGTTTTTTGTTGCTGAATCCCAGTTAAATTCTGAATTTTTTCCAGCCGTTGTCTTCTGCTGCGCAGCAGGAATATTTTTGGTCTGCGGTGAAAACTGCTTGGTGTATGTCTGGTGAACTTTTTCAAGAAACCACGAAGCTTAGTGTTTGTAGTTTGTTGGCCACTCGTCTTTTTATTCATTTTGTTTTTAAGGCGAAACATGACTAACCTCTGGAAAATGAGTGCACTGATCGAATTTTGTGGTCCAGTGGGAGTCAATATTCATTTCGAAGTATCAAACGTCTTTAGGCAACATATAGTCATTATTCCCTAAGAATTTAAGTGGAGCACACATTAGGCAGCATTAGAGATGAACCATGCTTTTATTGTAAGTGTCTAGGTTTAATTCCTGTCTTGTAATAAACTAGTGGTAAAATAGATAAGTTTTATTCTACAGCTCCATACTAGTAGTAGGGTTATGGGGTGCAAGAATGTTCTGACTACACTGCTACACTAATAAAATTGACTGGTCTCTTTCTAAGGCGCTATCATGTGACAGAATCAGTGGGGATTAGCGATTAACAGAAATTACTTTGTCAGATGCAGTTGGACTATGTGAACAAGGGTGTTTAAAGACACGTAGTGACGATGAAGGCTAAACAGTAAATAGTCATCTGCTAAAGTGATCGATTCATGCTAGGCATGATGAATTACCTTCCCCCGTAAGCAGATCTAACTAAAGTGGGGTCGCATTGCCAGAAATAGAAAAATAGACGTGACATTAGTCGGTGAAATCTGTGGCTGTTGGTTTGAGCCATACAGAAATCTGAGTCTTCCAGTTGGAGCTCTTGGGTAGGCCCGAATCAGTGTCTGGAGGTTGTGACACTGTCCCCTACTTTCTATCAGAACATTTTTATTGGTCTTCATTCAAATGTCCCCTCACTTAGAATAGGTAATTGTCCTTTGCAGTGTAATTCTGCCCAATACTTAGCTTGCTTTTGAGACATGGCAAGTTAAACGTGCTTTCTCATATGCAGTCTCCTGTTAACCTGTCATTCAACTAATATACAGTTCTTTCCACACTCCAAGTTGATATTACTGCATTCAGTTGTCAATCTTGCCTGAAGAAGCCTTCCCAGTTAAACCTTTCTAGAGTTATTTGCTTGTCTTTAATAACAGCTTAAGGTACCAGGATGACCACTGAAGTCGATATGCATTATACGAAGGGTAGGAAAAAATTAGCAATGTTCAGGAACATAAGAGCGTGTTAAGTAATCACACAGCCTCGATCCACATTACTTTCCCTGAAAAATATTGAAAAGTCTTATATGACTGTGGCATTTCAATCTGATTTCTGACCTCTTTTGACTTTTATTAGTCACTTTTCTAAGAGACTAAAGAAAGATGTCTTCATCGTTGGTATTGCTTGTTTAAAAAATCCACTTGTCCTTTAAATTTCTGTGTGAAACTTTGGCTTATTGATCTTGGTGTTTGATTTCCACCTACTAATCCGCGGGGTCGAATTCCTTCATCTACCGTGGTCTAGGCGGACAGGTAGTATCATCAGCCGTGAGAATAGATTTGGTTCGTTGTCAGATGCATGCAATCGCAAGTATTTACTGGATAATTATAATTCATTTCTGTGTCAAAGTCTTACTGGTGGACCCACACAGTTCAAACGATATTCTACATAATGTTGCTAATGATTTATTCTTTGAGCCATGTAGGGAGGTGTAGGCTGTCTCCCTGGTTTAATGTTACAACAGAGTTTGCAAGAAATAGAAGGCAGTGATTTCCTTCGTGGTCTATTTAGCTGCACTGTTTACTTTCCATTTTTTTTGGATAAGATAATGGCTTTATTCCAAAACAGTACTTGTGATACATAATGGAATTCTCAGCATTTTGCTACAATATTGCATCCAGTTAGTACATTAACAATAAATAAAGTTCTACATAGATTAAGGTAATCTCAGTTAGTTTTGACAACAACATATTAATATGTCGGTAGCAGAGCCAAAATTAAACAGTGTTTGAAGGTGTTAGAAAAGTAGGTTCTAGCATATTTACTGGCGTAAACAGAAGAAAGAAACAAAGCTGCACATAAGAGAAAAAAGAGGGAGAAAAGGAAAAGAAAGAAAGAAAAACGTTGAACCTATAAATGAGTTGGAAAGACGAGATCCAGTTGTTCTGCTGACTATTTGATAAGTTAAAGGTTTCACGCCTAACGCTTCATTTATCACACAGAACACAAGCTAAGTAGGGTATGGATGAGTTTTTGTACTTATTAGTGTGAGCATATAGTTTCCTATATAGGCTTCTGGTTTTCCCTGAAGAGATACAAGGGGAGAGTTGTGAATGAAGAGGATGTTGTGAGTCAGATGAAATGGATTTTGCCCATTTTTCACATGAGTCCATGTGCCTGTCCACCAGAATATTAACAAGCTGGTTAAGTGGCATGTAGCTTACCCTGCTGACAACCTTTAACATTCTACGTAATAAGTTATAATACTTCTTCAGTAGCCCTAGAAAAACTAAGGGGGAACAATAGAGAATAATAGGCAGAATATGGGAGTTAACAAATTGTAGGAGTAAGGGTGGGTTACACCAGAATGTCTTAACTTCTTGATGTAGAAGGTAAGACGGAATATTTTCTTAGAAATCGTCAATATGTGAGACGACCAGGAAAGATCAGAAGATAGAGTGACGCCTAGGTTTCTATTTCAGTGCCATCAATGTTGCACACCTCGTGAGTGCTAACCAGTTTGTTTAGGTCAGGTTTGTGCCTAAAGGTGAAATTAACTGTTTGGCATTTGGAGGGGATTAAGGTGAGACCGTTTTCCTTGGACCATTGGCTGATTTCTGATAAAAAGTTATTTAGTTTAGAGCAGTCACTTTGACATTTGACAGGTAAGATACAGTTAGGTCGTCAGCATATTTGACAAAATTAATGTCATTTGAAGATGGTAGGTCGAGTAGAAAGAAAGAAAAGAGTTGGGAGAGTACAGCACCTTGGGGAACACCAGCTTCAGTGAGCACAGCAGAGGAGGATTTACCTTTGTATACGGTGTACTGCATTCTGTTTGAAAAGTAGGAATGCAACCAGTTAGTGACCCAGGACTCGGTTTGTGTCATGGAGAGCTTATTTAGCAAGAGACATCTAGGTACAGAGTCGAAAGCAGAAGTGAAGTCAAGAAACGTGCAGCGGACGTATTTGGCACCTTTATCTAATGATGAGACGATACTGTTGTGTAAGACGGCTGCAGCGTCTAAAGTACTCCTACCCTGTCTGTAGGCAAATTGTTTGGGGTCTTCGAAGCTTTTAAGGGAGGGTTCGAGTTTAAGAAGTACTAGTTTTTCCATGAGCTTTAGAAACGGGGAAGTGATGGCAATGGGTCTGAACTTTACGTTCTTGCTATTTCCAGGTTTAGGGACAGGGACTATTTTAATGTCTTTCCATGGAACAGGTACAACGTTTTCGGAGAAAGAAGCATTTAGGATATTAGTTAAACGAGAACATAAAGCATCTGCACATTGTTTTAGAACATATGCAGGTATACCATCAGGGCCAAGACTACATGAGGGCTTAAGAGTTTTAAGAGATTTTAAAACATTAAGAGTGTTAAAGTCCTGGAAGTTATCAGCTACAAGATTAGTAACGTTAGAAGTATTTATAGTAGAAGGAGAGCGTATAAAAGACAGATTAAGAGCATTAACATCACAAGAGGGAAAAACATTACATCGCTTACTTATTGCCAGTAATTTCATTGAAAAATCTCCACATGCTGATAGGAGATTTGCATGATAAAAGTGTTCGGTTATAGATAGCATTAAGATTTTTGATTTCAGATTTGATTTGAGCATTAATCTTTTTAAGTCCTATCTTGTCTTTGCGTTTATGTAACATTTCTTTTTGCCTGCGAAGTTGTCTGAGATGACGAGACGATAAGCGGTCGAGGTGTTTGAACAGTGTTTGTTTGGGACAGCATATGTTGAGGCAGAACTTGAGATAATCCATTATATTGGTGATTGAGTCATCTAATGTACTTTCATAGAATAAGTCCCAGTTAGTATTTTTTAACATGCGTCTTAGATTGAGTAGGTTGTCAGATGTGTAGCATCTTTGTTGTGCTTTCATAGACAGGTGTGAGAAGACTTTAATATGTGTTTTGCTGTATATTTTTGGTAAAACACGGACAATGCAGTGATCTGAGTTTAGTATCGGTGATCGTCTACGTGTTTCATATACTCCTTCGTCATTAGTAAAAAGTATGTCGAGTGTTTTGTCAAGTCGAGTGGGAAATTTGACTGTTTGTGTGAAAAAGTGCTTCAAGAAAGGAGCAATCTGAGGAGTTGAAATCCCCAGTAATAACTGATATAGTGCAGAAGGTGGATTGTGTTACCGAGATTTGATCTTTTGAGTCTTTGAATTTATCAAGAGTCATGAAAGTTACTACCTAATTTATAATAATAACTCTATTGTATGTTTGTCATGCACCTGTATTACACGTTTTCAAAGCTGATTTGTTAGCTTATATTTGGAGACTTTTTCCAAGTTTTACTGAATGTTACAGCTTACATTGTAAAGACTATCCGTTAATGCATCGTTAATAAGCATCGTTATATTTAGTCACACTTAAAGTTATTTCGGTGGTTTAGTAAATATATATTATTTTCATTCATCCAAGTCATTTTTTTTATTAATTCTAGGTTATTGTTGAAAGATCACCACGTGCACGTGTTGGAAACCTGGACAAAAACAAATACTTAGTCCCTTCAGATCTAACTGTTGGGCAGTTTTATTTTCTTATTCGTAAAAGAATTCAATTAAATCCAGAGGAAGCACTTTTCTTCTTTGTCGACGATATTATTCCTCCAACCAGCGCTACAATGGGTGCTCTATATGAGGTAATAGATATTCTAGTATACGATTGTTTTTTAAGGACTAATTTAGATTTATATGGTACTAAGTTTTCTTTTGTATGTTAGTTGATAAGAAACTTTAGATTTGAGTTCACAGTGTGTTTTTGCTTTTAAGCTTCGGTCGGAATCGTGAATATTAGCTTCCTTGTATTGATTTAGTTAATTGAATGTTGTTTTGTAAAACTCAATTCAAAAGCGTTAGTGTTAGGCTTTTTAAAATGCCACTGACCCTGGGTACGATTCGAATGTATGAAACGTGTTTTCGTGAAACGGTCAGTGGTATAATTTCTCTCGTTACTAATAAAAGCGGATGATATAATCTCCCCTGCTAGTTGAAGCAATCCGCGAATGTCCGGCATGCGATTCGCTCCCGTTAAATGTAAGATGATTCTGTAGGACTGAACTACAATGACTCCTAGCTTGAAGGTAGAGAGTGAAGTGGTAGAGTGTGTTGATCACTTTACTTATTTGGGGAGTTGCATCAGCCCTAGCCAGTTGATCACTGACGAAATCTCAGTAAGGATACAGAAGGCTCGTTTGGCACATGCCTACTTACCCAACCTCTGGTGTGGAAGTGATATCTGGCTATTGGTCAGAGAGCGTGTGTACCGCTCAGTACTTCACTCCGTCCTCTTTCGTATCTGTGAGACATGAGCATTGAAACTGGAAGACATGAAGATGCTGAGTTGCTGTCTTTGCTCATACGTGTTTGCATCCTGTCTCCCATGTTAGGTAGTGGATGTAAAATGTGAATAATATTGAGGTTAGGCATCGGTCGAGTGTTAGGTAGAGAGGGAAGTTACGTTGACTGATTGAGATGGTTAGGACATATGTAGTGCATGGATGCCTAATCATCGCCTTTCTCGACAACAGGGAATGCTAGCTGGCATAGGATCAGTTTGATGAAGAGCTAGTTAGTGGTGGTGAAGCAAAGACATGGCTTCATGTGTCAATGTACTCCATAACAGTTATTTTAAGCCATTCTTTTTGCTTCATATCCCTGTTTGTTATCTCTCTTTTGAACCTCTGTTTACTGTCTTCTCTTGCTTTATGCACTACATGGAGTGTGACAAATTGGACTTCTGCACACCTGTGCAGAGTTCTACGTTTTCAAAACTAGTTAGTCAGTCAGTCGGTCACTGTGATGACAAGTGGCAATAAGTGCCGGAGATTTTTTATCGCAGTGTTGAGTACAATAATATCCTTTGCCGATCATCACTCATCTCATTAAAATTGATGTGACAATTAACCTTCAATTTCTATAACTTCCTTTTATGAAGAGTTACTAAATGACATGTTTCCATATGGGCTGCTAATGATATTACTTGGTTAATCAAATTACAGTCATTCTAACTGCATTATTCTACTACTAGTAGGCGTAGATTACCTAATTGGGATATGTAACAACTGTCAGCGCAATTTCATTCACTCTATCACCTCCCGAATTTCAGATATTTTGTGAGGTCAAGGGGTCTTTGGACATTCTCATCTACGTGAAAGTTAGTCACAGTTTGTGTATCAAATCCGATGCCATAAACTATCTGCTCATGCCTTAGCGAATGGGGTATTTGGCATGTGACTCTTACTAGCAGTCCCAAATGTAATGTTCTCTCTCTCTCTCTATGTATATATATATGTTTGAATGAATGAACATAATTGCAGGATAATACAAGCTCTTCTCATTTCGTGGATTCTTTTCAGTTGCGTACATCCTAAATAAAATCAGTTAGAGGTTACAAAATTTCTAAACATACTTTTTTAAAATAACGATTTCAAGTTATAAATAGAAAGTATAAACAACATAATTTCAAAGATGGTATATAAGTAGATGAATTATTCAAGGTTAAAACAATAACTTTTCTATAGTTTGATTTGTAAGGGTTGGTTTTGCTTTTACGAGTTCATCACGGATTGATATCAGTTAGAGAACCATTGAAAACCAACACTGGAGTACTGGACAGCGGTTTCATCCTAGTTTCCGGGGTGGGGGTGTCGCGCTAAATGCACTACGAACTGATAGAAGTTCGAATTCATGGGCTACCCATTGAATCGAGTCCCAGTGACTGAATGGTGTGCGAGCCAGCTTACCTTGTAACCGGAAGGTCCTGGGTTCGACACCTCTGTGGTGGGTGCGTACTGTCTATGATTCCCAAAAAAACTAGGATGAAACAGCTGTCCTGTACTCCAGCGTTGGTTTCCAATGGTTCTCTAACTAATATCAATCCCGGCCGATAACTGCTACCTTGTCGTGTTGGACGGGCTTGAATACCGTAATAACCCAACATGCTAAACTGACTGGGACTCTGTCCCTGCAGGTCCTACCATGTCAGGAAGGTTTTCTGGATAGCGGTTAAACTAAAAGCAGTTACCATGGGGTACATGGGCTCCAGTATCCAATCGGATCAAATGGCATATGAACCCAGATGGGTGACCGGAAACCATGGGAATTCAGCTCCTGACGCTGCTCCGCTGCCAATCCGCGGATTAGACTCCAAGTCAAAGGCTCGGGAGGTGGTTCCTTAATAAAACCACCTTCGGTTTGGGCGCCCGGGCAGTATCTCAGCCCTTACACAATGAATTGAATAAAGCAACAAACAATCAATGAAACTTATCGCGTGCTATTACACGTGTTGCAATTTCCTTCTTTCTTCCCTTCCTGATGATAGTTAACGAATACTGTTTTAACTTGTTAAGTATGACTGTTTTCCTTCCAGATGAAGTTCTTTATCCGTTCTCTACTTTTATATTTTTTTATCTTTCTTGATCTATGTTGTTTTATTATTATTATTGTACCAAGTTTTTATGCGTTTAAATAAAAAATAATAAAAATAAAATAATAAAGATATCAATCTGTGATCAACTCGCAAAAACAAAACAATAAATATTTATAGCATAATTAGACATGCGGATAGAGTTCAGATTTTCGCTTGGAAATAAGGATGGACTAGAGACGGGGAATACAAGATAGAACAACAGAGGGAATTTGTACTTATTATGGTGGAGAGTTCAGAAGGAGGGTGGTGGTGGTTAGGTGAATAGTGAAGTAAAATTATAAAATAGATAAAATCATTTAATTTAGTAGATTTGGAAACTCAATGAGTGAAAATCAAAAAATCAAGATTGAGTGTAATGTTATGCGAGAGAACACAACACAAAAGCACACAAGCAGGACAATTGTGGGTTGCCAGGCAGGCGGTAGGTAGTAGTGAGAGATTAGTCACTCTGTCTTTCTATCTATATACAGAGGATGGGTCGAAGTCTTTCGATGGCGATGACCTCTACGAACTGAAGTAACCGTGCTTTTGCTTTGTGTCCTTAATGAAATAGTGCAACTATAATGCCAGTAAAACATTTCTCTTTCCACATTCACAAGATATCCCCCTTTCAATGTTCTAATTATTTATTTATTTATTTCTAATTGTTTTACAGGAGCATCATGATCGTGACCTCTTCCTATACATTGCATACAGTGATGAAAGCATATATGGAGGAGCGGAGACAGGCGAAGGCGTGTTGTCTTCATGAAGAGAACGGGGCAGCAGCAACAGCAGTTGGTCTCACTCAATCAGTTGTTTGTTTTGTTTGTCTTCAGTAATATGGATTTGTCGGATCACTACTATTTGTATCATTTTATTTGAACTTTTTTTAGATACGCTTATTATTCTTTCTTTCATTATCACTCCTTCTCTCTCTCACTCATTCACATACGTACATACATACATAGACACATACATCTTATATAATATTCAGTCATATCTTCAGTGTCTTTGTCTCTGATGATTGACAAAATATCTCACAGTGATTGAGAATCATGTGTATTTCAGCATTATTTGTATCATTTGTTAAGTCTGGGGGGGGGCTGGGGTGGAAGCCACTAACCAACTCACTAACTAACCAACTAATCTGTGGTGCCGCATATTGTGAAACATTATTATTATTATTATTATTATTATTATGAAGGCTGTTCATCGTCATTATTTCAGTAACCTTGCGAAAAAAGAAATCAACCAACCAATGAATAAATAAATAAATATATAATTAGTAAACTTACAGATTGGTTCTCTGTTTTGCTTTTTTGGTTTGTTTGATATATGCGCAATCGAATCCTAGTACTTATATATATATATATATATATATATATGAAATGTGTAGCAGTGTTATCTTATTTTGCGACTACAGAATAATTATAACGACTTTAAAGTCTCATTTTCATGTTTGCTCTTGCATTTTGTGTCAAAACACCACCTGCAGTTGTATTGTTTGACAAGTTATTATTATTGTATTGTTATTATTACTATTATTGCAACCTTGGAACAGAGGGTATTCAAAAGCACATTTCCACCTTGTTCTATTTTCTGATGTTCTCTTTAACTGGCTACCCCTACGATCGCCCATAATCTGTCATCTCCTCCTATCCACACAATCTCCCCCATGCCATCCTTGGACGGACGCCCAAGTCGTCATTTCCCCCGTTCAAACGATGACCTGCATTTAAGCGCGATGATATGTGAAAGTTTCCTCAGTGGCATGTGCCCAATTAATCTCCATTTACTCCTCAACGTATTTTTTAACCGATTGATTCTTGATTACGTAGTTCCCATAGTTTCTTCTAGCTAATTCTTTCTGGTTAACCGGCCTTTCGATTTTCACTATGGAGCCAATGAATTGGGTGACTATTTATAAAAGTCCTGCAACAGGCTGTTGGAAATGCTATTCGTGACGCACTGGCCAAGTTTCTTACCTATGTGGAAGAACTGACTGACGTGATATTTGCATTGAAAGTGTCAATCTTGCCGTTTGTACTGAGGTGGAGTGCAGACAATTTCTGAACTGATTTTAGGCTGATGAAGGTGTATGTTGCCTATCCGATTGAGACTGGCTGGTGTTGACATCTTAATGATCCGTGACGTTTGCCACCTGTGGTTGAAAGAATTCTTTATAGCCGGGTAAATGAAAGAAGTAACCTCTATCAAATTTCTCCCGTTGTTGGTGATTGGTGCTGCTTGTTGTTGTTGGTTCGTTATCTTCATGACCTTTGTTCACTTGGAGTGTAATCTTCTGTCCCAGTGTCTTCTACCAGTTTCTTAGTTTTCACCTGCAAGTCTTCGAGTTTATGTGACATTAAACATAAATCATCCACGCGAGAAATCCAGATCTCCGAAAGTCTTCTTATTGGTCAGTGCAGCGTATTCCTATCTTCTCACTCCGCACACACTTCAGCGTAATACAGTCCGCCAGAATTAAGAAGATCATTGTGGGTGATAATAGGCAGTGGCCTTGTCTTACTCGTGTATTCACTTCAAAAGCTTCGCTGAGTTTTCCGTTGTAGTCACCTGACACGTGGGGTTGTCATATGGCCAGTCAGCTGTTGAATGGGATTGATAAAGATTTTGGGCACTGCACACTATAGTGTTAAGTTAACACACTTCTAATCCTTAACGTTATGTATTTTCATGTTGAAATCAGGTGTTTTGTATATAATAATAGCATTCGTTGTATGCTAGTTTCCAATATTATATCGCCTATGCTATCTTTGCTTGTTAAGTATTAGCTGTCATTTCAATCTTCATGTATTTAGCCTGTCATTCCATTTAATTGTATCAATTTATCTCACTAATTATGTATATGACGTCGAATTCGTCATCAAGGAGGTCGGTGAATTCGTCGTAAGTATTAGGAATATTGTATAACTGCTACACGTGTAGTTGTACTTTCTGTTCACTCAGCTTAGCGGTTATCAGAATCGACTATGTCGACAAACAAAACTTGGCACAATATGGAAATCGAAAGGGTGTGGTGCATTACAACCAAAACATTTTTAGGGTGATATCTCACAATACGGTGGGTCGGTGGCATAGCGGTTAGGACGCTCGCCGACCATGCACATGGTCCAGGGTTCGATTCCCGGCCGACGCACTCCTTTGCCTCGCTAAACGAGAAATAATTCTGGTAAAGAGGAAAGGTTGGGCATAAGGCTAGCAACCCCATCCTGTAAAATAAACACTGCTACAGTATCTTCAAGCCACTAGCTTGAGGCCCTATGTTCCACTGGGGAACGTGAAGGAAAAATATCTCACAATACGTGTGTGTGATATTCAATTGCTGACGTTTCTCATCATCGAACCTAATACGCCTTGATAATTCAACAGGCGATTCTGAAAAGTATTACTTGGCGGTTCTTCCATAATTGGACAACATTAAGGGTCTATATGTGTTCTCAGAAGATAGTGTAGTATGGCTGCAATGTTCCATTGATATTATAAGAGTAGAACTTGGGTACTGTGGTGGTATAGTATAATTCTATGATAGCGAACATTTATCTTGATAAAGTGTTGTACAGTAATATTTACCGATGACCACGTTTTGAGCACAATTTATATAATCATATCAGTGCACTTCTCACACACAACTTTCTGACTTTCTCTGTATGGCTTCGTGTGCTTTTGGAAGTGTGTGGGTGGTTGTTACTTCCTGGCTGCCCACACCTTGGAAGTCGATTGATTCTTCGGGTACCTGCAACAGAGAGAAGGTTAGTGTCGCGTGACCGCAGAGCCCAGGGGACAACTGCTTGATACTGGCCGGTCACACACGACCTGTATGAACTGGTTTCTGAGATTGGTTTCGTATTAGCAAACTTACTGCCGGCTACGGACCACCATTATTTTTCATCTCTTGATATTTGACTGGTATCAGTACTTTCCATATCTCTGGTATTGGTGATGAGTCAGTCCTATTGTATATGTTGGGTGTTGATTCTATGAACAAAGATTCAGTAATTGACACAATAGGGTGGTGTGACAGAGTTGAAATTCTAAAATGTTAAATAGGTATGTTGATGGAGAGAGAGAGAGTTTGATTACTGAATCCTGCCTGGTTCATCGAGTCTACATCCGTCAAAAATACGAGAGATATGGAAGATATTATTACTACCAGTCAAATCAGAGGAGGATAATAAATAATGTTAAAATGTATTCAATTCACATTATAACCTTCTAACAAGTTATTTATTTATTTTACTATTAAAGCATCTTATTTCCTCTCTTGTTGACTAACAATACTCGTCTTATTTCCCGTCGTATTATATTTGATTGATAACACTAATAGTCTTTCAAGCATGTCTAAGCAACCTGATATTGACATTTATTTATTTTCAAGTATTGGTTTTTGTAGGGATTTTGTTTGATTGCATGGAGGATTTCATCATGAGCTGACATCAGTTAGAGAACCACTGGAAAACCTGCAGGGAGTACTAGACAGCTGTTTCGTCCTAGTTTGGGACTCTTCAGCAGTACGCACCCACCGGGATTCGAACCCAGGACCTTCTGGTTACAAGGCGAAGCAGGTCGAAGATGAGACAGTAACTCATCGAAGAAGACATTGCGAAGTGGTCGCGCTATGTCGTGAACTGGCAGAAGTTAGAATTCAAGGACCATTGGATCGGGTCCCAGTGGCTCAATGGTCTACGAGCTCGCCTTGTAACCAGAAGGTCCTTGGTTCGAATCCTGGTGGGTGCGTACTGATGAGGAGTCCCAAACGAGGACGAAACAGCTGTCCAGTACTCCCTGCAGGTTTTCCAGTGGTTCTCTAACTGATGTCAGCTCATGATTAAATCCTCCATTTATTTATTTGTTTGCTTTTCTGTCTAGTCAGTTTTTCAACAGTTGGTTTGTAAGAATTAGATTTTTTTTTGAGTTTGACCGTGGATCGATATCAGTTAGGGAACTATTGAAAACCAACACTAAAGTACTGGGCAGCTGTTTCATATTAGTTTGGGAATCATCGGCAGTAAGCTCCCACCACTGGGGTTTCGAACCCAGTACCTTTCGGATACATTCAGCTACTAAAACCCGATTCAGTTGACAGCTCATGAATTCTAGCTCTTCTACCAATTCAGGATTCTAGCGCAACTGGCATCAACCAATGTCATCGGTGGGAAATCCATCCTCACACTTGAGTGGATGGACCTCACTGGTCATGACTTCTCACTAGAACTCCAGGAAATTCCGTCTTGTAGCAAGTCACCCACTAGTGAGCGTCAGAATAATTTCGCAGAGTTGATTTTTGTAAGGATTAGATTTGTCTTTACGATTTTGACCATGTGTATAAAGGCAGTCGGAAAGTTATGTGTGAGCAGTGTCTTGATATGATAACGAGGATCAATAAATTGTACTCGAAAGGTAGTCATTAGTAAATATTACTGTTTAACACTGTGAGACTTTACTTAAATTACTTTGAGCCGTTTTTTGTCCTTCTAACTAAATGAGTTTGGATACAGCGAAAATGCTTAATCCAATATTCACTGTGTAATTAACTAGCCTTTACTGTTCGTTAACTTTCTTCAAAGTCATTCCAGTTTCAAGTAATATGTCACTGTAACTTGTGAGACCATAACTACAAAAATTGCGCATGCAATTAAGAGTAGTATTTTATGCATACATTTGATGTTTTATCTATCCTTCATATACATAGGGTTCCAAAAATCTCTTTACCCCATGTAATAACTCGTCACCCCCTTGAAAATTGTTTTCTTTTCATTTGGTGGATAGTGACTACCATCCTGGATTCCACTGCTAGTTATCATCCGCCAATTTAATTCTAATTACGTGCCAAGACATCATCGAAGCATCTGCAGAAGAAGCCGACAGAAATGCCGACCTGAGGTCGAGCACTTCAGTTCAACCAATCGACGGGAAAATTTAAAAAAATTCATTAAATAATTAATATGACCCGTTGTATAATAAGTGGTTGTCGTGGCTGAAGTGGTCCTAATTGATAACGCTTTGGAGTTTGGAACTATGGGCACTGGGTTCGAGCCTCGGTGCTGGGAACATCATCATTCATGGGAAAACCTAAAATTCAATTAAATGACTTCTTTTTACTTCATTCCAAGTGATAACTTGTAGCTTTTTCCACACTGTTATTATTATTATTACTCTCTTGGGTTCCTAGTGGAACATAGGGCTTCAACCGCACGTCTCCACTTGCCACTTCTGTCTTCTGCTGTACTTTTCACCTGCATCCATGTTAGTCCATACTCTTTCAACTCCTCTTCACACGAACTCCTCCATGTCACCCTTGGACGTCCCACACGCCGCTTCCCTTTCGGGTTCCACTCGAGCAATGGCTTGACGCGCGATGTCACCCAGCGGTCTCCTCAGCGAGTGACCGATCCATCTCCACTTTTTTCTGCATATTTGTTGGTTGGCGATTGGTTTTTGTTTTGTCTGTTCTCATAGTTCCTTGTTGGTGATTCTTTCCGGCCCGGCCATCTGATCTTCAGTATAGAGCCAGCGAAGACAGTTGTTAACAAAGGTCTGCAATAGCCTGCTGGAAATATTCTTTGTGACTCGC